CCGCTGGGGGAGGGGGCGACCGCGCGCCGTTCAACCCGGTCATCGTGCTGCGGCGCTCGGCGCTCGGCGCGGGGGCGGCAGCGGGGGAAGACAACAACGGCGACGACGACAGCGCGCTCGCCGCGGCCAGCAGCTTCGAGCTCTTCTACGACGACGGGGCGGGCTCGGGCCTCCGCCCGCTGCCGGAGAGCATGTCGGACTTCCTCATGGGGTCCGGCTTCGAGCGCCTCCTCGGCCAGCTCGCGCAGATCGAGGCCGGCGGGCTCACCCGGGCCCGCGAGACCCCGCCGGCGTCCAAGGCGGCCGTCGAGTCCATGCCCACCGTCGCCATCGCGGCCTCCCACGTCGCCGCCGACTGCCACTGCGCCGTCTGCAAGGAGCCCTTCGAGCTCGGCGCCGAGGCCAGGGAGATGCCCTGCGCCCACATCTACCACGAGGACTGCATCCTCCCCTGGCTGCAGCTCCGCAACTCGTGCCCCGTCTGCCGCCACGAGATGCCCACCGACACCGCGGCGGCAAGGTCACAGGCCGCCAGCGCCGGGGCCGAGGAGGAGACCACCGTGGGCCTGACCATCTGGAGGCTGCCCGGAGGCGGGTTCGCCGTCGGGAGGTTCGCCGGCGGGAGGAGGCCCGAGGAGAGGGAGCTCCCGGTCGTTTACACGGAGATGGACGGCGGTTTCAACCACGGCGGCGCGCCGAGGAGGATCTCGTGGGGGTCAAGGCAGAGCCGGTCGACCGAGAGGAGCGCCATTCGACGCGTCTTCCGCAATATGTTTGCCTGCTTCGGCCGCGGTCATTCGGCGAGCTCCCACGCTTCGTCCTCCCACATGAGGCCCGAGGAGATGACCGAGGCATCGGATCATTCCGCCGTGTTCAGCCATGGCTCGAGAAGCCGGAGCATGAGCTGGAGGCTGGAAGACGGCCATGCCGACACGATGGTGCAGAGATAGTCCTGAACTCTGAACCCAAAGAAAAAAGGTTGCTGATTGCTTCTGTTTTATGTTTTTATGTATTTATAGAAGAAAGAAAGGAAACACGACGATTTGTAGAACAGAATTGGTGTTGTACATAGGAGCAGCAATCTGCTATATTAGTTACAGGGGAGATGTCCACTGTGATTCTGAATTGAGCATTTGGAACCTAGGTGATAAATTGTTTTGTTGGTACTAGCAAACAATGTGTTTGATGATTTTTGATTCATTTAATTCAATTTGGCCTGGTCTTTACAATGTGTGAATGCTTCAGTTGAACATATGTTCCTAGATATTTTCCGCTCTAGTCTCCGGCTTCTTGAGTTAGCTAGTCTCATCTATCTCTTGCAGATATACCATGGCTTTTGTGGATAATTTCTACTGTATGTTGTTATCACTATGATTATTAGTGATTAGAATCCCTGGGTGTTCTTTTCTTGTTCACAAGTCAATGCATCCATTTTCATTTCATCTGTCCACAGAGAGCAAGACCTCATTAATATTTTTGCGAAATAATCTGCCTGACTGAAATTTCGATGTAGCCCGTCGTCTTCAGATATTTAAGTTCTTCTGGATGACATATCTGAAACAATATATTTGTTTACTATCATCAGATCTATGCAAGTGTTGCAATTGCCAATTGCCCTGCATCATTGTCCTGATCATAGAAAGTTGCAGCAATTACACATGAAGTTACCCAACTTTTTACATGTCCGCATTGTGTATTTAATTTAATGTGGCCTGGTGTTTACAATGTTTGAATGGTTCAGTTAAACATATATCGTCGTAGATATTTTCTGCTCTTCTTGAGTTAGCTATTATCATCAATCGCTTGCAGATATATCATGACTTTGTGGATAATCTCTATGTTGTTATCGCTATGCTTATAAGTGATTAGATTCCCTGGGTGTTCCTTTCTTGTTCACAAGTCAATGCACCATATTCATTTCATCTGTCCACGGAGAACAAGTCCTCATTATTACTATTATTTTGCAAAAATAATCTGCGGCTGTCTGACTGAAATTCCGATGTAGCTCCTTGTCGTCATACTTCAGGTATTTTAATCATATTCAGATATTTAAGTTCTTCTGGATGACATATCTGAAACAGGATATTTGTTTACTGCCCTCAGATCTATGCAAGTGTTGCAACTGCCAGTCACCCTGCATCACTGTCCTGATGTAAAGCCATAGAAAGTTGGGCAGCAACCACACATGAATTTATCCTTCTTTTACTGTCTTTTATACTGCTCCTTTTTATGAAACCGAGAAGGCTAACGTCTACCTTTGCAGCAATCCTGGCATCTCAAAAGCTCGTAGAATATTCTGATGGCCGGCTATCTTTGCAGTAAGTTTGAAGGCCTATCATCAGTTTGCTCTCTTTGTAGTAGTAGTATTTGGAGTGCTGCTGCTGCTGCTACATGCTTTTCTGCAGCTTTCATCTGGTAAATCGACCAACCAACATACCAAGAAACGCTCCTTTCAGGCATGCTCAATAACCAAGTATAATGCAACCACTGAACCGGAATGATTATGATGTTTCCTCTATAATTGTATGGAGTGCGTGTTTGGAGGTGCAATGATTAAGATGTCCCCTAATCCTGCCATCCATGTCTGTTTCGGTGGTTGAGCGTGCATTCAGAGTTGGTGCAAAGGTGAGGTAAGATTTGCTAATCTTGTTTGATTAGAAATGTGTCGACATGTGTTTGCCCATTAATCTTTGGCTCCATAATTTTGTCTCTAAACAGCTGCTGGTTTTGTTCTAGATGAAGCAAAATTACTGCCCATGGCGCGTCGTGCTGGGTGAAGTTGCCGTTTGAACGTTTTTAGTGCTAACTTTTAATCTGAAACTGGCTATTCCAACTGGGTGGATGTCATTATCCTGCTGAACAGAAAGTGGTAGGCGCATGAAGTTCACCGCGTTTTAGGTTCTTTATTATGGAGTTGATATGGACGTCTGAGGCTCCTAGAGATATTCCACATTTCCACTTGAGCCGCCAGGTTCTTGCATTGACTCGGCTGCTCTATCGGCTATCTCTTGCAAATAGTTCAACTTGCCACTTTGTGGTTGATCTCCATGTTGTTATCAGTATCATTAGTGATTAGATTTTTCCCGAGCGTTCCTTTTTGTTCACAAGTGAGTAAGCGACACATGTATACCCCCCTTGTCCGTGTACAAATAGCACCGTAGTCACAATTGGTTTTACAAAAAAATTACAAAAACTTTGTGGTAATTGCTAGGCTTGGTGTAAATCCAGAAAGTAGCAGTTAGGTACATCTTACATGTATTCACCCTCCTATTATTTCGTTTTATGCAGCTGAGAAGGACGTGCACATCGGTGGTACAGTCAGGAAATGCTCTCTTCATGCCTGGCCCATACAAGTATGATACTTAACTGGCATGCATGGTTTAGCTGTTTCTTCTATTGGATGAAGCTGTGCCGTAATCTCGCCATCTATGTCTGTTTCAGTAGTTGAGCTGCAGCTACGCGCAAACAGAGTAGATTGTGCGCCGAAATGCATCGACAGGTATTAACAAATTACTTTTTGAAACCACTATTCTCTCTCTAGACAGCTGCTGTTTATTTTCCACAACATAAAACAGCCTAAGGCACATCATAGCAGAAACAATCTTGGTTCGTTGACCCGATCCGAATTCGGATCCGAAATGGGGGGCTTGTGGATATGCACTAGTGTTATTTTAGAGAAGGTGACTAGAGGGGTTGAATTTGGATGGCGAAAACTGAAAGGCAAGCAGAGGCTTACATACATGATTTCAGCCATAAAACAAAATCCAATTTAGGTGCTAAAAAAGTCGATACATTGGCCATTCGTCTCTGTCCTATCTGAATGCTAGTGTACAGTTGCCGCCATTGACTAATCGAGGTTTGAATCCAGCTGTGATGCTTGTATGAGATTCGCGTACGCTCACCCAGCGCGTAAAACAAAGTGTAACTATAATATGTAGTACAAGTGGCTATCGAGATGAACGCTTGAGGGCCAAAAGTTTTGCCTCGGTTTTATAATTAACCTGAATTCATTACTGCTAACGAGGCTCTCCCTACCTGTTGTGACCTGACATAAGTTGTTATTAACTTACTCAGGCCCAGCTCCAGCACATGCTAGCAGCGCGTGAGGCGTGTTGACCAAATGCACATGCCAGCCATCGTTATTATCCAAGGTAAATCTTGCAACTGGTCTGGTAACAAGGCCTTCATCCGTGTTCCTGCTTGTCTGAGTTCTCCCCACAACCATCACACACACAAACAAGAGCTGGAGTGCAGAACAAGGAGTAGAGACAGAGACTGATGGCGCCGGTGGTGAGCGCTTCACTGGGCACGTTGGGTCCCCTCCTGGTGAAGCTCACCGCTTTTCTTGCCGGTGAGTGCGGCTGCCTGAAAGGGGTCCGTCGCGAGATCCGCTCCCTCAAATCCGAGCTGACTAGCATGCATGCTGCGGTCCAGAAGTACACCATGCTAGTTGATCCAGATGTCGAAGTGAAGGCATGTATATCGCTGGTGAGAGAGCTGGCCTATGACATCGAAGATTGTGTCGACAAGTTCATTCATCAGCTTGGCAGTGGCGGGCGCCATGGAAGCTTCATGGACTTCTTTCGCAAGACTGCTCACCGTCTAAAGACACTTGGGTCTCGGCGTGGAATCACAACCAAGTTGATGATCTGAAGGCTCGCGTCAAGAAAGTGAAAGAGCTGAAGGGCAGTTGCAAGCTGGACGATATTGCCTGTAGCACCTCCTCTGACCATGCAGCCGTGGATCCTCGGCTGTCTGCTCTTTCTGCAGAGGAAGCACACCTTGTGGGCATTGACGGTCCAAGAGGCGATCTTGCCAATGGATGATGGAAGGAGACAGGTCGACCAAGCGTCATCGCAGGGTGTTGTCCATTGTTGGTTTTGGTGGATTGAGGAAAACAACTCTAGCGCATGAGGTCTATCACAAGATTCGGGGGCATTATCATTGTCAAGCCTTTGTATCAGTCTCACAAAAGCCGGATATAAAGAGGATTATCAAGGATGTGATCTACAAAGTGCCTTTCCCAGATGATTCATAAAAGACATTGACATTTAGGATGAAATGACATCTATTGCGAAGCTGAGAGAGCTGCTAGAAGATATGAGGTGACTTAGCTTTTACCATTCCCTCCGCAAACGTAACATGTGTAGTTTACATTATTTCTGGTATCTTTAGTGCTTCCACTATTAATTTCGCACACAGTGAAGATTGCACAATATTTCACAGCCCTAACAGTACTTTAGCCACATGGCTTGCATAATTGTAGGAATACTTTACCACACATGCACCATACTGAAATTTTTCGCGTAGTATATAACTAAATGTACCTAAGATATTATAGCACGCTGGTTTTTTTTTTTGGAAAAGGATTGTAGCACATAGGTAGTAGCAAGTTACCACAGTCCACAGGTAAACCTTTCGTTCCAAAACCTGGCTATAAGATGCTGAAAAATGTTTGACATAAATCTTCCTTCAGTTCACCATTTCAGTTTAGTTGGTCTGCTATTTTGATCGTTGTTTGTGATGAAAAAATCAACCTAAAATGATGCATTAAACCACTCAATTTTTCTGCTATCCTCACTGATGATAATCTACGAACATGTTGTGGTATCGTTTGTCTTATAATTTTACAGTATCCAGAGATGGAATATTTGTAATTTGTCCTCGGGTAGATCATTGCAATCAGACATGGTTCAGTGTGTGCAGAAATTGGTGTTAGACCAAGTAACTATTTTTTTATGCCCAGACAACTATTAAGATGGTTTTAACATTCGGTTCCAAACATCAGATTTTTAAAGAAATACTCCCGTCCCTTGTGCCGCTCCCGCGAGCGGCCCGGGCGGAACCCTAGATCGCCGTTGCCGCTCCCCTTTCTCGCCTTCCTTCTCCCTCACCGCCGCTAGGAGACGCCGCCGGGCAAAGCCCGCGCGTGCGTCGGCGGCGACGGGGCTCCCTCCCTCCTCGCGAGGTTCCTGGGCAGCGCGGGCCGGCCGGCCCTCGCGGCGGCGCTCGGCTCGGCTCGGCGGATCTGCGGGGCTCCCCTTTGGTGGCGTTGCGGCGATGGCGGCGGCGTGGTCTGCGCAGGGCGGCGAGGCGCGGGCTCCTCCTCCCGATCTGATGGCGCCACGGTGGCGCCGGCGCTCGGGCGTGCGGCGGGGTCCGTTTGAGGGTGGTCAGCGTGCGATGTCTTCCTCCCCGATCTGATGGCTCCATGGTGGCATCAGTGCTCGGGCGGCGGTTGGCTTCGGCAAGCAATGGCGGGCGCTGGGCTCTCGGCGGCGGTCCCTGTGCGCGGTCGGCGGCTTCGTCTCTGACCCGGACGGCGCGGCGGATGGCAGCGGCCCGGCGTGGTCGGCGGTCTGGATGCGGTGGTGCCGGCGGCTCGCTGATCTGCCGGTACTCCAGGGCCTGCCTGATGGTGCTGGTGGTGACGGCGGCCTGTGCACGAGAGTTGGATCCCTTCGAACTGATCTGGGTGAAAACTTGCCTTCGGCTTTTGCTAAGGCTGGCGGTGGCGGCGCTATCTGCGTTGTTCCTTTCTTGAAGGCATCGCCGTGGAGAAGTTCAAGGCCACTCTCTGCTACCTCCGAGGAAACCATAGATCGGATGATCGGATGACAGCGGCGCTCTGGTGTCGTTCCTCCCTTGGTGGCGTCATTCTTGGAGGTACACACGTGAAGGGACCAGAGGATGGATTCTTTGGTGGAGCGATGCTTCATCCTACACACCGATGGCGACGGATCTTGACGGCGTGGCGCAGTGCATATTTGGAGTTCGCCGTGGGAGGATGGACTCGCGCAGGAGGACGACGCTGTCGGGCGTCGTGGTGGCGTTGATGGCAGAGAGACCTGGCTCGGTACATGCAACAGTACAGCTCTGAAGAAGGATTGGTGGCAGGTGGCTGCGGCGGCCTCATACCCGGCAGGCGTCCTGGTTGAGGAGTGCGCCGGACTGGTAGATGGCCCATACCCGGCAGGCGTCCTGGTTGGGATCTCAGGTCTTAGATGTTTAGGTTTGGCTGCGATGTGTGTTTGGTATTAGGTCCAGACTATCTGCGCCCCTTCATCAATTGGATAGGTGTAGCGACAGTTGTTGCTTAGACGGTGGCTTTAGTCTTGCTGTTGTATGGCTTTGTAAGGTCTTGTGATAATAATTAATAAAGTGGCCGTATGCATCGCTCAGATGCAGAGGCCGGGGGTCATCCTCCTTTTCTAAAAAAAAGACAACTATTAAGATGGACGTTCTATTTTGGTGCAACTTGGATCAATGTGTGCGATACCAAATTTTGTAGAAATCTAGTGTCAAGACATGATTAAATTCAGACTCTAAACATCACAGATTCATGCATTTCGGTGATTATGTTCAGACTATAAGATTCGTAGATGTTAAGGGCATTTAAAATGCTATCATTAGATCGATAGAAGAGTTGTGTGCGTCATGTCTTTTTAACTTACGCAAGAATTTACCTAATAGTTATAGTTAGCATTTCAAAATACTATAAAATAATTTCTACATTGATTTATGATCATTTATTTACAGTCAAATCAGCATCAGGAATTTGGAGTTAGCCTTTCTGATTTTGAAAGTTTACGTGTATTGCATTTTGAAGATTGTGAGAATCTGGAGGAGTATGATATGAGCAAATTATTCCAACTAAAGTACCTAGGCGCATGGACATTATCAAAGCTACCATGAGAAATTGTGATGCTACATGATCTAGAGACGCTGGATCTTATATGGACAAACATACAAGAGTTGCCACCGGGAATTGCTCGGCTCATTGAGCTACAGGTTCTACTTACTTGGATCACAAAGATACCACATGGGATTGGAAATATGAGGAACTTAATTACGAGTTGTCTCCTGGTCTGGTTGGATATTGCCATGGAGTTCAGTTGGTGCCATAGAAGAGCTTGGTAACCTGACCGGTTTGGATGAACTCCATTTCGCTTTGAACAGCAGGGGATCTGATTGGTACAGGACTGATAGCGATGAGGAAATGAGAACGGGACTGATAGCCGATCGAATGAGGTATTCATAATTATACATCTCTCTCTATTATGAAAGCATCTCCTCTCCTCTTTTATAAGGTGAAGTGAACTGCTTTCCCAAATTCACATGTCTTGTTCCCATTTCATTTTACTAGTGCAGGGGTGATGCGTGTCTGGCTTTTGTTGGATTGTTAGGATGGATGAGCCCTGCAGCTACGGCTCTTCCTTTCACTTCTTGCTAACAAAAATGATTTAAATTCAGTTGGATCGTTTAGGTAGGACTGTTTACTTTTGGACAAGTGTTTCTGTTGGATGCTTGTACTCTGTGTTCAGGTTGTGTGTACTTTTGGTAGGATTTCAGCTCTGTTTTGCATCGAGTATCATGGATTATTTCTGTTGAAAACACTTCCTGATGAAAATGCAATGTCGATCCTCTCCTGCTTGATTAAGTTGGACGGCTGTTGTTGCATTCGTTTACTATAATAACAATATGAGAGAAGACTTGTATGTTGTACTATCTGATAAGCTTGTATGTCGTATGTTGTATCTCATAATTTGTGCTGAAATAGTCTCATTTCGGGAAGAGTAGAAGATCCATGTCATGGAAATTGATGGAATAATTCGCCATGATGTAAGCAATAGAATGTAGCAGCTGGAGTTGGTAACATTTGCCGGATGGCCGCCCTCCGTTCGATAGCCCTTCTCTGGTGCTGCTCTAGCAGGCGGCTGGGCAGCTCACTCCTGACCTGAACCGCTTAAGATCCCATCTAGCTACTATAATAACCAACTAATTAAGAATCTGTCTATAGTCTGTACACATATATAATGATCTCGTCATGTATATATGTGTATCAGGTGAGGAAACCATACATGTAGGGTAATAACCTAGGTATTTAGTGTTGCTGCATCCAGCATCAAAAGCTAGCGCCACTTGCATATTGCTTGCTGCCGTTTTGCAACTTGCAAGGATGTCTTCTTGGTTTCCTCACCTCTCTCTTGTATCGACATGTCTTGGGTATCTATAATATATAATAGTATCATCAAGTTGATCGCACCGTTTTGCAACTTGCCCCTCTCTCTCTCTCTGTGTGTGTGTATTGACATGCATTGGTTATCTAATGGTACTATCTCCGAAACAAAAATATAAGACGCTTTTGTAGTTTGAACTGCAAAAACGTCTTATATTTAGTTATGCAGGTAGTAGTATGTACTTCAACAAAATATACGAGTTTTTTTGTCTATCAAATGTTAAAAAGAAAAACGTTTAGGTTTGGTCATTGCAACATTGAAACGGCTTTAACAATGACTTGGGTGTTCTTTTGCTCATATCATATGGCAACTCAGGCAGCATAAAATTTTGACAACATAATGTAGAATGAAAAATAAAATAGAAAATAATAGAATTTCCTTTTTGTGAACTCGACTGAAATGAAGAGAAAATGGGAAATATGCTTTCAAAAATGAGCAATTTTGAAGAAGAAGAAGTTTCTTTTGATAAAGAGAAAGTTGTGTTAACAAAGATTTTCAGATAGTGATCTAAAAGAAAGAACATAAAACACAAAAGTAGTGAAAATTAAAGGACAATAAAAAACAGTTTTTTTAATAAAGAGTATATTCCAAAAAAAACATTAAAATATATGGCCATTTTTTTATTTGGGATTG